ATTTATGATAAATACCGGTTCGATATCAAAGAAACTTTCGTGTTTATCGATAAGCGGTGTTAAGCCCTCAACGCCTCCTCTAATAGTATTACTCGCGTAAAGAAAATGAGGAAAAGAGAAGGCGAGGGGTGCGCCCATTTGACAGGGACCTAGGTCAAATATGCCGTCGCACTGCTCGTAATGAGCGGGTGTCCGACAAAAGCATCGATTGTCGGCGTTTTTGTCCGGAGAGGCGAACAACGATTGCGGGAAAACAAAACGATAGGTCGATATTCCTCTCACAGAAGAGTCGGTCTTGTATTTGATGTGAAATGATCTGCAAATTGAGTGTCAATGCAGTGGCCATTAAATGCAATGAATAGATATTAATCAGTGTTGGACATTATGATGATGGTAATTGCATACTTGCACGCGTCCCCTTGAAATATATAAACAGTGGCCGATCGAGATAGAAATGAGCCCATTGTAGTGCCATCCGTACCATTCATTAGATTACAATTGGGATCGTTATAGAACTCTAGAGATCTAAATGGATATCGTATTTCTGCTCAATGTGTCATTTAATACAAGTCTTATAATTTTTGTTTTTCAATAAATTTTGCCATTTTTTAATTATCTAAAAAGACTGAAAACTTTACTAAAAGGTTGTTTAGTTAAGTTTCATCTTTCCATTGATAACAAAATATTAATTAAAGAAATAAATATATGCAAAACTTTTATTTAAAAAACTCATTGTCTTTAGACTTAATTAATATCTAAACTCTAGTTGTAAACAATATTAGAAATTATCTATTAATTAAAATATTTAATTCTAGTGACCATTTGTCGACAAATAATTAAACACAAATATATTTTAAAATGCAAATATAAATAAAATTTCTAATTAATGTTTAACTAAAAGTTTGCGGAAATTGACGATAAATTTGAACTAATGATCAAAATGGCAACCATTCCTATGGCTGTTATTAATTATGGATCACTAATTGTGGCCGCAATGGGACTCATAGTTATGACCAGCGCTTTAGGATATGCAGTCATTCATAGGAATAATGTAAACAAATATGAATATTAATTCAATAAAACCATTATTATTTTGCTAAATACTATTTTTAGTTAATAGACGACAAGACGGAGATAACAGTTGACGAAAAAGACAAAAAACAAGAAATAAATGGAAATATAAACACAACTAAAGAAGAAGAGAAAAAGAGTGAGAGTGGAAACCGACAGAAAAAGAAGATTAAAGCGAATGCTTTCGTAGATAAAAGAGACATAAAAGACAAACAAGAAATTAATGGAAATTTGAGAAATAAATCAATCGATAGACACAAAACAGAAGCCATTGATAATCATTCCGTATCGCAGACACTGAGATCTGATCAGACAGTCGGCAACAATAACAACCTTAATAATCATAATAATGATTATAATACAACGAATTTCGCAATAAGTCAACCGAATAATAGCATTGGAGCTAATAATACAATTCTGACAAATGATAGCCCAATAAAGGGGACGCGAAATACAGATATTTTTATCCCGTTTAACACTACTCCAGAACCCACACCCGTAACCACTCCCGGGTCCGTAGAATAGGCTCATTCATTCATTCATTATATTGTTCTATGGCTTAATTTCAATCAAATAAATATCAATATAAATGGATTTAGTTAATAATGAACTCAATTCCTATGGAGTTAATGAAATAAATATTAAAAAGAGATGCAAATATTTAAACAGATTTTTTACAT